CATGTACACTATGTACTCTATACACAACATGTACACTATGTACTTTATACACACTATGTACACTATACACACCATGTACCCTATGTACTCTATACATACCATGTACACTATGTACTCTATACACACTATGTGCACTATATATACATGTACACTACATATAATTTGTGCATTGTATACTCTATGTAGGCTATATACACTTTATACTCTACATACTCTTTATACTCTACAAACACTTACCCGGCCAGACTGATCGACTTTTTTATCCCAGCCGGGGGGCATATCCATCTGAGGGTCAGCAAACTGATTCAGAAACCTGACAAGCTCCACCTGGTGTCGATATCTTGAAGGGAAAAAGAATTGTTTTGGACAAATTTGACTAAACATGTATCCATATATAAATTTTGGTATATTTAATTACCTCTCAAACTGACTCGGTTCGCTTCTGATCTTGGAGACTATTAGTTTTAACATTTGGCTCTGGAAATAGTAATGGCCGGCCACCTGAAAAGCAAAGACATAAATCTTACTAAATGATAACTGGATGGTTTCTACTGAAATAATGTATATAAAAGGCTTATTAAATGCTCTGTTGCCTTTGTTAGATACTATTTCATTAGTGGGTCCACTACAAATGATACTAGGACTTCTAATTGGTACTTAGCTCTTTCAATTTTTAATTTTAAAATGAGTTTGAGAGGAGACACCGAACAGCATCCGAGGACGAATTCACAGGATGGGCCCGGAACATATATGTTAGAAACTGGCGATTCAATTTAAGCCTTCGGCTCGTGATTCATGACCTTTCCTCGAGTTCTCCCAGCATTCCGCGCGGCTTTATCACGTTTTAGAGCTCGGAAAATGTGTTCCACTGCTTTTATGACATAACCAGTTGTGACCGATCAAATGCCGGCTCTATAACCTGATAAAGCATCCGCTTAAAAATTGAATCGACCAATCTGAATCAGACGAAGCGTACTCTGTTAATCTATGTTAAAAGCGCTAATATTCCCTCAGCGTCAACTTGAGGCGATTTCAGACGCTCAACACTCCGGCATTACAAGGCCTGATTTATTTCACCTGACTGTTAGCTCCAAAAGAGAGGACACGAACACGTATAATAGCTGGACGGGATCTGATAAGAAATTTACGAACAAAAATCACTACGATTGGCGTGAAAGTGCTACGTCCAGCACAGCAGTATCAGGTGACGAAAGACGTAGCTGACCATTTGCCTCAACCCGATCGTCATACAAATTAGTCAGGTGAATCACGGCTTCAACACCTGATATAACTATTATGGTATCTGCTTCTCAAAAATGCAGAAACGCGACTTGACATATTAATTAGGGATGCTTACCCCTTTACTTTTGAGATAGTCAATCAAGTCATGTCTGGTAAGGAACTTCACCGCAGGAATTTGCGCATAATTGTTGCTTCTGGAAGACGCCGACGAACTGGACGGCGCAGAAGACGTCGACGGCGTGGAAGAAGTAGACGGTGTAGAAGATAGAGTGGAAGAGGTCGACGGTACAGGGGTGGAGAAGAGAGCAGACGTAGGGGACGGTGTGGAGGAAGGTGGTTCCGTCGAGGAAGGAGGAATTGGTGACGAGGAGGGTGGCGTTGCAGGAAGCTGGGAAGGCCTAGTGGAAGCTGCACCAGTTTCCGAGCTAGTATTGGCGCTCGATTCACCCGTTGTTTGACTCGCCCTGCTGTTGTCTGTAGGTAAAGGTGGACGTGAATGACGGCTACTTCGACCCCGAAGCGTGCGGCGAAAGCTTTGATACCTGAGACAAAGGAGACCAATTTAAGATAAAACATTTCCCAACAATAAAGTTATATGTAGGGTTTCTCAAGGCAACCGGAAGTGTAAGGAAAGTATTCCATTTCTCTTTAATAAAACAGGTTGAGGTGAATTTTAAGAGGTTTAATACTCGAATAAACCGACTATAGTTAAAAGTTCCTTTCAACGCAACGGAAACGTGTGCGAAATATGTGTGATCACATGATTCACAACAACAACTGAGTGGTGTCCCCGTTAATTCAGCACACCTGGAAAACTAATGAATCATACCTTCTATCCAAGCTTTGCCAATGCGTGTTCATGTCATTCATGTTGGATTCACTTCTTGGTGCATCTAAGGATTAAAATAATTTTCTCAGGCCAATAATCAACAGAATGTTATCCCAGGTTCTTCAGAATAAAACCAAGAAGAAAACTACCACTTCTCCTGAACGGGATGCAAACCTAAGGCATGTTGGGCTAAACTAGCTCGAGCATCACGTGGAAACGGGAGGCACCATTAGTCTGATCAGGAACTTTTATTTCACTCTCTGAGCCCTTTGTACATGCTCTTAAATATCCTATCGGTAGGCATGTTTGGGCTTACGGGCCAACTAACCCTGGCAGAGTAAACATATTTTTGGAACAATTTGGATATATCAACAAAGTTGAAATGGTAAATTGGCCACCGTAACGATTACAAAAGCTGACGTTTCGAGCGTTAGCCCTTCGTCGGAGCGAATAGAGGAATTGTGGGTTGTGTGTGCTTTTAAAGGCAGAAAATGGAGCTACGTTATTGGTGGGAACATGGCAACGAGAAAGTAAGTTGCTT